CAGGGGCATTAAAGGTTTATGTAAAGTGACATTAAGAACAAGTGTCAATCAAAGCAACTATTTATGGTCTTCTTGAAGTACAAAAGGAAAAAGAATCAGGGACCTTGGTTTTCTGTACGCTCTGAAACACACAGAGAAATGTGGCTTCTGTAGAGATTTTGGAGAAGGCAAAGATTAATTTTCATTACAAGCAATAATTTTATATTGTAACTTTTTTTTACAAAATATTTAAACATTTCTAGCCTACATGGACAGAAAGTAAATAAAACAACAAAAAAAGAATGACTACAATTAGAAAGATTCTGGACAGTGAATGGGGCAGGGCAAAAATGACCTGTTTTACAACTCCAGTGTTGGCCACCAACGCTTACGAGTTCCCCTTTGCAAATTTCATTTCTTATATTTTGCAACTTGGAGTACTGTATCTCCTCTACTGTAGATGGTACCACCTTAAATTGCTAACATACCACCAAATCTTTTAATGACTGCACCCTTTAATTGTGCAGCTTCAATCAACTGGATGTACTGGAAGTCCTTGATTTACAACAGTTCACTTAGTGACTATGCAAAGTTGCAACGGCACTGAAAAAAGTGACTTATGACCATTTCTCATACTTAAGACTGCTGTAGCATCCCTGTAGTCACATGATCAAAATTCAGCTACTTGGCAAGTGGTTCATGTTTATGACGGTTGCAGAGTCCTGAGGTCATGTGATCAGCTTTTGCGACCTTCTGATAAGTGAAGTCAACGAGGAAGCCAGATTCACTTAACAACCATGTTTCTAACCTAACACATGCAATGATTCACTTAGCAACTCTGGCAAGAAAAGTTGTAAAATGGGACAAACTCACTGAAACAAATGTTTCACTTAGCAACATAAATTTTGGGCTCAATTGTAGTTATAACTCAAGGACTATCTGTATTTGTATAGTTTGCTGTGACTTTTGGCTTTTCTGATTACAGAATAATATACGATAAACTGTGATTGTTCATGAAGTGACAATGCAAGGAAAACTTAGACTTTTTTGTTTCTAAGAACACTTTTTAACTAGAGGCCACACAATTTTGGCAGTGGTTTGCTCTCCAAACTTCTTTCAATTTATTTTCTGAACGTTTTGTTACCAGACTAGGTAACATCATCAACAATTTTGCCTCCAACATCACGGGAAGCTCAACCATGCACTAAAAGCAAGCAGTTGTACCATACTAGCAGCTTTCCTGGTGCATGCATATTTGCACATGCCCACAATTATATTAAAAAATGTAATCTGGAAGTCAGAAAGTCAAATCTTTGGAGGCAAACTATAAAAGCATTTCATTTGGAGAGGAGAAGGCAAGCTTCGAAAATAACCTAACAGAAAAAAAAGATACCTAAAAAAAGAGAGCCCAATTTCTGCATCCAATCTGGAACGATTGTGAATGATAATGAATTCATTGGACCCAATTTACACCTGCATTTGGCACTCTCTCACCAACCACACTTATGTTAACAGAATTTCTATAAGTAATATGGGTTGGTTAAACAGAGCCTGATGTATTCAGAAACACTTAAACACAATTTGGTGGAAAGAAAAAAAATGTAATGAATTTAATAAATATAAATTTACTTTGAAACAATGGATACCAAGTTTGTTTCTATCTCTTTGATCTCAGGAACTGTAAGAATCATGGGGGAGATAACGATAATTGGGAAATCCCCACATTCAGGTTTATTTGCCTTCAAAGATGTTTTATTCATGTTTTATTCTTCTTAATAAACAATGGGAAAATGTTACAGGTCCCTTACCAGTTACTGTTTTTCTCTTCATCATAATGACCCCCAACACTGAGGTAGGTTTAACTAGTATGAATTAATCATGATAAATGATTTTGTCAATCATTATTAGGATAATATTTTTAGGATAATATGGTCTTTTTCTAGATTATGGCCAGTTAGAAATTCATTCTCAAGCAATCCATTAATAAGTAAATTATCCTCGGGACTAGAGAAGTCTAATAAATTTTGAATGTTATTTGCTTATTCTGCACAGTAACTTAATATTAGGTTATTCTAATAAAATATGGATAACTGAACAACATACAATTCCTACTGTAAGAATTTGCTAGCATATGAAGGCTTGCCATACACATACTGTGCCAGTCAATACTGCACTGGAAGAAGCAGCAATGAAGCTCTGAGAAACTACATCATCATTTTGTTATCTAATTTTTAATGCAATTACTAACTCAGGGGTCTGCAACCTTAAACACTGAAAGAGCCATTTGGACCTGTTTCCCACAGAAAAGATAACACCGGGAGCCACAAAACGCTTCCCGTGCCTAACTATTTTTTGAGTGGCCACAAAATTAGCATATGTAGTTGAATTAAACGTTCTGTTTTCTTCTGAAACTTTTCTTTTCTTGGATTTATCCATGGTTGGCCTATTGGGGTAATAAATTGCGTGCCGGCGGGTGTCGCACATTGGCGGTTGTGATGCATATTTTGAGTGACAGGGAGCTGTGGCAGAGGGGTGAAAGAGCCACATGTGGCTCCAGAGCCGCAGGTTGCTGACTCCTGTACTAACTGTTACTAACTTAACAACTGCAAGGATTCACTTAACAACTGTGGCAAGAAAGATAATAAAATGAGGCAAAATTCAACAACTGTCTTACTTAGCAATGGAAATTTTGGGCTCAATTGTGGTCATAAATCCAGGGCTACTGTATTTTACTCTTGAACATTTTATAATTTTATATTACTAGAATTGCACAAATTATTACTCATAATTATTGTCTGTCCATCCATCCATCCATCCATCCATCCATCCATCCATCCATCCATCCATCCACAGGTAATCCTTGACATAAAACCATTTATTCAGTGGCCATATGAAATTACAACAGCACTGATAAAAATGACTTACAACAGTCCTCACATTTATGATTGTTGCAGCATCCTCACAATCCTGTAATCAAAATTTGGCCACTTGGCCACTGGCATGAATTTACAATGTTTTCCAGGCTTATGTGATTGCCACTTGCGACCTTTCCAGCTGGCTTCCAACAAGTAGTCAATTGGGGAAGTTGGATTTGCTTAACAGCCACATGATTCACTGAACAACTGCACTGGTTTGCTTAATAATTGTGGCAAAGAAGGTCCTGAGATTTTCTCAAACAATATTCTTCCATTTTTTTTCATGTCTAGAAAACAACTTATTTTATTTAATTGACTAAAACTTGAGCTGTTGCTAAATGTTTGTTGCATGTGATGTGTACATCTATTTTTCTGTCTTTTTAAAAAAACAAAACCCCAAAGTAGGTGATAGTAATGCAGGTACAATCCATAGGAGCCTGATGATTGACTCATTTTTGGTGTTTCCGATCCATCACAATTAAAAGAGAGAAAAGAGAAAGTGCGTGATCCTAAATAATTATTCTTTTTTTTAAAATTGCTTTGGTGTAATCTTGGCTTTGGCAGGCAGTTCTCTCAGGTTTATGCCAGTGCCATCTTCTTTGGGGAGGAATGCAGAGAGGTTGAACAATTTATGAAGAATCCGAAGGTTTTTTTCCAAAAGGCCACTGGACTTTACTTTTCCTTAACAACATTTCGCTTCTTATCCGCCAGTTATGAAGAAGCTTCTTGGATGAGAAGTGAAACATCTTCAAGGAAAAACTAAGAAAGTCCAGTTGCCTTTTGAAAAAGCACCTTTGGGACAATCATGACCTGGATGACTGAGAATCTCCATACATAGACAATTCATGAAGAGGTTAATGGGTGGGGAATGAGAAAAATCTAATTAGTGGGAAATTGATTAGAGGGAAATGTGATAAAAATGACAGATGGGCTTCAGTCTTCTGATTGTCTGCTTGCCTCCAGAGTCAGTTTGCTGTTGTGGTTAAGACACTGTGTGTCCTAGTCTTACCTTAGGCACAAAGCTACCTGGGTGACCTGGGCCAGTCAAACCCTATCGGCCCTTAGAAAGAGGCAATGGCTACCCAACTTCTGAAAATCTTACCAAGAAAACTGCAGGGACTAGTTTAGGCAATTGCCAGGAGCCAAAAACTGATGAAGACACAAAACAAATTAAAACAAAAAAATAGCACCTCTGCAAGCTTCCTATGCCCCAAAAGCTCTCTCCCTTTCCATCCATTTTTTTTTTACCTGAACACTAAATACACTTGCAGTAAACTTAATCTTTAGTCAAGTCATGTGATTCCTTGAAAATGCAGCTACATTAAAGTTCCTAAAATGATGAACATTTGGAATTACCGTGTTTCCCTGAAAATAAGACCCTGTCTTATATTTTTTTTGAACCCTGAAATAAAAGCTTGACCTTATTGCCATGCGCTCAAAAGCCCAATTGGGCTTATTATCAGGGGATGTCTTATTTTGGGGGAAACAGGGTAGTATCTGCTGCAAGAAAGGCAATCATCATATGAGGAATGCTAAGATATGGTGCATTGTACAAAGAGCTGGGTCCAGAGGTGGGTTTCAGCAGGTTCTGGCCACTTCTGGAGAACCGGTAGCAGAAATTTTGAGTAGTTCGGAGAACCGGTAGTAAAAATTCCGACTGGCCCCGCCCCCATCTATTCTCTGCCTCCCAAGTCCCAGCTGATCGGGAGGAAATGGGGATTTTGCAGTAACCTTCCCCTGGATTGGGGAGGGAATGGAGATTTTACAGTATCCTTCACCTGCCACACCCACCAAGCTGTGCCACACCCACCAAGCCACACCCACAGAACCAGTAGTAAAAAATTTTGAAACCCATCACTGGCTGGATCCCTGCACAAATTTTGCATAAGCCCTATTAATTATCCACGTGCAAAGCCTTCTCTGAGTCACCAAATAATTACGATTGTTGACTTGTTTATAATTAGATATCTGACCTTGCTTTAAACATGTTCCTATTAGCAACACAATAGGAAAAACGAACATTTAAAAACCCTTTACTGTAACAACAATCAGAAACACACACACACACACACATATATATACAAATACTTCTTTTGTTTTTTTTACCAAGGTTGTTGTCTGTGAGCACCTCTTTAACCCGCTTGGTGATGCCATAGGTATCGAGTTCCGGTGACATGGCGACCAGTTCCTGAATGCTGAGTGATGAATGGCCGGAGAGAGGCAATGGGGTTGTGCAGTGGGAATCCGAAGTCGAGGCCTCGCTCGACTCCTGCAGCTTGCCTTCCTTACTGGTTTCAATGGCCGGGCAGGGCTGCTGGACCAGTTCCGTCAAGCTTTTCACAGAGTCGCTGGAACTCATTGGGGAATCGGGAGCAGGACTGCAACTGGCAGAGGTCTTTGGGGTGCTTTCTGAAAAATCAGCAGAGGGGAAGAAAAGGGAAAACTTAACTTTTAACAAAATAGTCCCGCATCTAGGTCTTGTTCCCAAAACACCTTGCTATTTACTTGACCCCAAAATGGCTGATACTTGAAATATACTCTTAACCTCTTCCCCTCTGTCAGAAGTTTGTTCCCTCTTTCTTAAACGGTCTTTTCCTCACGTGCTATAGAATATTGTTAAAACCCGCTCTTTGAGGGGTATGAGGGGTGTAACAAAAGCAACAAAATTAAACTTTTAAAAAAAACACATGCAGCATTAGTGTATAAAAATTCTTTTTTCAGAGTTAAAAAAAACCCTGCATTTGTCTAGCTAAGGGCTGCCTATCTGATCTCAGCTTAAAGCCCCAATATAGACTAGATATAGAACGCTTTGCATGCAAAATCTATAGGGCCATCCCAATAATTTTTCCATGGAAAATATTTCAGGATTGTTCTTAGGCTGTATACAAAAGTGTCCAAGGAATACAGGTAGTCCTCGACTTACTACAGTTCATTTAATGACTGTTTGAAGTTACAACGGCACTGCAAAAAGTGACTTATGACCATGACTTATGACCCAAAGGCCTCTTCTCTTCTCTCTTGTGTGAGTGGAGCTGTATGTGTGTGCGTGCCAGCTCAACCTTGCGCAGCCCGGTTCCCCTCTCCTCCCCCAACTAGACCGCCATGGTTGGGGATCACTAATTTAGAACTTCAGTAAGCAGATAGGTTAAGCATTTGCTGTTCTTCTAAACTTTTTTTAAAATTTAAATTCCCCAATGTTTTAGGAAAATACAATACATGTTACTTCTCTACTTCTTCAGTATCTTTGTAAACATGAGTAAATTTCAGGTAGTAATGTGATGATTAAAAAGCCCCTAATCTATTCACTGATTTATTTATTGAGATAAAAATAATCTCAACCACAGTAAAAACTTATTTTTTAAACTCCAAAAGGAAAATTTGGTTAGTGTTTTGCAGCAGTTACTGTACTAATTAACAATAGGGAATAAATTAAAATGAAATAATATTTAATTGATCAAGGTGCCCTAAGATTGTTTGTTTTTGGAAAACACAATCACTGAATGTGTAAAAAAAAAAAAGAGTCAAAGGGTATTCTATGTCTTTTTACGAATCACAAAATAGTATCTTAAATAGAAGTGAGCCCCCATTGAGAGACTTGATAGATCAGGTGTTAGGGATAGATCGTAATGGTGAATATCTATATCGCTGCTAGGACTCAAAAAACAATTTTATAACACATAATCAATCAATCTACAAGAAAAAATATTGCATCTGTAACGCTGTATTGTTATTGCCACTCTTAAATTTTACATTTCAATACAAATAAGAGCTGGTTATCTCAAGTCGTAATAAATACATGCCTTTCCCTGAAGCAATCTTCTACTGCATAGACCAGGGGTCTCCAACATTGGCAACTTTAAGACTTGTGGACTTCAACTACCAGAATTCTGGCTGAGGAACTCTGGAAGTTGAAGTCCACAAGTCTTAAAGTTGCCAAGGTAGGAGACCCCTGGCATAGGCCATGTCAAATGCCATGGACTGTAATTCTCATCAGTTCCAGCCATCATGGTCTCTGGCCACAAATTTCTGAAGATTTTGGTTAAGGATCCCTGCCTAACATCTAAAGATAGACAGGAAAGGTGCACAAATGTTTCTAGTCTAATACTGGCTACATCTTTACTGAAAAAAAGAGGAACCGAGTGTCCATCCCCTCCTTTTCTATGCATTGGTTTGATTTCCTATTGTGCTAATAGAGCTGGGAATATAATTTGGGAGTGTCTAGATTCCTTGATGTTGCAGATTGTAAGTAAAGCTGGTAAGAGTGGAGTATGGAGAAGGACTAGGGATTTCCTTCACATTTACTCTGGTTTGTTATCCCTCTTACTGGAATGAATGAGCTCCAATAGCAGAGGTGCTGCTCCACCTTATCTATTCTCAGCAGCCTAGGATGGGATGCGGGCAGGTAACAAAATACAAAATACCGCAATAAATAACTAAACCTCTGCTCACGCTCAGTCAAGTGTTCGCTTAAATAAAAACTTCTCATAATGGTGCCAAAAGCCATAAAGAGTTATTTTGCTAGGGTTTTCTTTCCATTCTTTACCCAACGTGTGGAATAATATTTACTTTGGGGAAAATAAATGTGAATGGAGCAGAAACTCCAGATGTAAAACTTCAGGAAATTGATCCATGTGCCAAGCAAAGTATTGGCAACTGAATACTGACAAGCTAGCTTTGTGCTCACTGCTGGAATTAAAAATCGAAACGATAACTTTCATGTTCTATTTTTGAGACTTGTAGATATGAAACTCCAAAATAGAACCATGTGTGCACACATGCATCTATTCTGGAGTCTCCACATGTGGCAACCGACTTGTGAATTACACTCTAGTTACTGAGCTCCATGGAACTTCAATCGCAGGATGAACTTGAGAAACCAATGCCTTTAAAATGTGTTGCATGAGTGGCCCTTAGAAATCTTGCCCATATGTTACTTTTCCAACGAGGGATAGGACTGAACCTCGTATTATTTTTAAAACTGTCTAAAAATAGTGACTACATGAGACAGATGGCTCCCCCCTCCCCATTCTTGGAATTATAGGTACAGCAATAATTTTTAATACAGCAGGCAATCAACAGCACTTTCCTCCAATTTGACACTGTCCTACTGTATCGGGAAGCACCTGACTGGTTCTGAGATTTGTGAACCAATACATTAGGCAGCTACAGTCCATGGAAGGCTGGGATACATCCTGAGCAGAAATGGATAAACTGAGTCTCAAGAGAGACGTGGCTTTCAAAATGTTGGCCGCAGCCTTAGAGTTCAGCGGCGTGAATATAGTAGCAGAAAACTTGGGCTCCCACCTGGATCTTTAAAAAAAAAAAAAAGATTGAAGATAACAGAATAACAGGTCCCGTCCAACTCTGTCATTCTGTTACCTTCAATATATTTTTTTAACCAAACAAACTTGATTGTGGTTTAATTGAGGGCCAACATGTTCTTATGGGGGAACCTAGTTATCTGCTCTAGAATTGCGCTATCAGCAGGAGGTTGAACAGTATCTGTTCTGCGCATCCGGGCGGGTGGGTGGAGCCTCCCGCCACCGCTACCGGTTCATCCGATCCGGGGCGAGCCAGTAGCAACCCACCACTGCGCCTAGAGAATTCAGTTTACCCTAATCCTAACTCTTGCTAAAACCCTCCCCAAATTGTCCCCAAGCTAATTTTTAATGTGACGGAATGGAAAAATGCTTAAAAGTCAGAAATATTCTTAAAACGTGTTTTGTGCATAGAAAAAAAAAACATTGTTCCACAGGAATTTGGTTGGATTGGTTCTGGGCAGGTTATAATTAATCATACTGAAACCTAGAAGCTCTGGATTGTTCTAGGTTTCAGCCTAGATAAATTTTTGCACAATCCCTTCTTTTCCTTTCCTTTCCTATGCCTTTCCTTTGGCATAACAAAACTGGCCCACATTTGCTTTTCTCTCTCAAACACCAAACTATCAGCATTCACCTCTTCTTTATTGTCTCCCATCCTGAAATGCTTGGAAAGTACACGCTCTGGGTCATGTTAGGACCAAATGTATGGTTTGGATTGAACACAATGTTTTGTTCTGGGTGCATGGCATACATAACTTGGCTGTTCTGTGCACTGATTGGATAAAGCACAGAAAGTCTGTACATTCTTATTAAGTAGGCATTTAATCACTTTAATATAATTGTTTATTTATTTATTTATTTATTTATTTATTTATTTATTTATTTATTTATTTATTTATTTATAAATTTGTATACCGCCCTTCTCCCTGAGGACTCAGGGTGGTGTACAGCCAAGTAAAAGCATAAACTACAAACATTAAAATACAATTAAAAAGATATATATAAATTTGGCCCCATGATTAAAAACAATAACAAACAATTAAAAACATTTTAAGGCTAGCCCGGCTTGCTGGAAAAAGAAGGTTTTAAGGGCACGGCGGAAGGCACCGAGGTCTTGGATTCTCCTTATCTCTGGGGGCAGCTGATTCCAGAGGGTAGGTGCCCCCACAATTTACACTGAGTCCAATTTAATTTTTATCCTGGGCACAATTTTTAGTCCTGGCATCCTTACAATTCTTTTCGCAGAGCGGATGCCTACTACTACTCTACCCATAGCACAATGTTCTCTCTGAAAAAACATTAGACTTTCCAGTCTAATTGCAGGTGATCAGGCCAGCCTCAAAACTGGGAGACCAACAAGACCAGATCTGCTCTTGCTTTGAGAAACCTGAAGTCATTTTGTTTTGCCAAAAAGCTGTCTTCTGTTAACACTGATAATGTATATTGCTGCTACTGCCAAATTTACATTACATAACAGGACTTGCAACTGGGGGGGGGCAGCGAATCAACCAATATAAAACATATAACAGCAAACTAAATCAAGAGGAGGAAACCTGCTTCTTTCCTCCCACTGTTATTACTCCCCACCAAATTCATGTACTGTATCCCTTCATTAGGAAAGTCATGCATGAACTGAACTTAGAGAGTGAAATGTACATAATGAATATGATGTGTTAAATATTTTATGGATGCAACACATATATTGGCAAAAACAAAAGGCAGATAAGTTATTCTTGACTCTATTACCTGGCTGACCTGCATGAAGCCCAGCTACCTAACTGAATTTTCAACCTTCAGGAATCCTTCCATCTAAGAATATTTGGTGAGGAATACTTATAAAAGTGCTACTGAACCCAAAAGTTCCATGGTGAGTATCCTGATGGAAATACAGCAATCCTTGACTTACAACTATAATTTGGACCAGATTCTTGGCTGTTGAGTGAAATGGGGGTTAAGCAAGACGCACCTGTGACCATTTTGCTCAGTGACTGCAATCCCAGCTCTCCCAGTTGTGGTTGCTAAGCAGAGAGAGCAAAAGAGCTTCCTGACGAAGGAGGGCAGGCGGCTCCCCTCTGCAAATGGAAGGGA